AAAATTCCTTGCGATTTATAGGGTTTTTTTCCTTTTATTCCCCACAACTTTGATTTTCTAGGGGAGTATTTATAGGTTTTTTATAGATTCAATCAAAGATTGATTATTATTGTTCAATGTTTGGCCTTCTGAATGAAATGGGAGGGTTCAAGTTTTAACATTTGGAGCATTATACTTGGCTGGTTTTGCAGTAGTGGTTTTGGTTTTGAGGATTCTTGTTGGTTTCACTAAACTTGAAAGGCAATTAGTTGTTTTTGGCCTTTTAATCTTGAGAGAAAGGTTTTAAGTCCTTTACAAGAACCCATTTAAAAGGTTTAAAGTGTGAACATAAAAAAAAAACAATCGTTTTTGCGTAATACGTATCATAATCATGGCTAACTAAGGTGATCACATTCAAAACCTCGTCGAAGCAATTCTGATGTCATCATCATTTGAGAATACCTAAAGTTGGTAGAGTGGGTGAACACTTTTTGTTTGGATCTAACCTTACTTTATTTATAGATTTGTAGCTTTATATTTGTTTGTTTGAAGATGCCCACTTAATCAGTTAGAATCTGACAATGCCAAGATGGCAAATCAAGGATAAGATATTGTCAAGTTTGTTGAAGAAAATGGGATGTAAACATTTGATAGGAGTAGTTGATCCTTGTAGAGGGGGTATTTCTCAATCGAGTGGTGGTGGCTAAAGCCCTAAAGATGGTTAGAGATGCTACATTCATTCATCTAAAAGTAGCATATCAATATCCATTCTCGGTTAAAAAAAATGAAACACAGTGGTTGAACAACGTGTCGCTCAATTCATTCATTAAATCTGAGTGACACGTTGTTTATATTAAAGTATAGCCTTTAAAAAATATGGTTTTTAGATAGGAATTTGGGTAATTTCATTTTGGTCCCTATATTTTCAATTTCAGTGTGTACACTCCTAATTGATCTAAAACTTTCTCCATTTTTACAATTGTATCCATGGAAAATTTAATTTAAATTCTTTAATTTGAGTGCCTTTCGTAAGATAATTTTTGGTTTTTAGATTATACAATTTGACCCCTATCAACCATCAAAATTTTAATTTTTATCAAAGTAGCCCCTGATTTCATCAATTTCAGTTGCACATTCATATGCCTTTTTTAGTTTGGTCTTTTTCTTTAATTTCTTCAATCAAGTCCCAAAATTCCCATTAAATTTGAATATTTATGCAATTAAACCCCTTATTTTTACCAAATTAGCTTTTTAAAATTACAATTCAACCTCTAGACTTCAATTTCTTCTAATCAAAACTCAAATTGTATTGAAAAATCAAAATTTCTTGCTATTAAGCTCTTAATAAATTCAATTAAACCCTGAAAAATTTCAATTGAACCCTTAAATATCTAATTTTGAATTTTATTTTCTAAATTAAATTCTTATTATTAGTAGGGCCTTTACCAGTCAAAATTGAACAATCAATATTCCAACACCAGATATTTTGATCCTCCCCAACCAATCTTTGGTAATTTTCTAGGCGTTCTTCATGTTTTCTCTACTAATATATTTTTTTTTCAACTTTTTTTCCTTTTTCTCATTTGTTTCTTGATTTTTGTATATTTATGTGGGGCCCTAAAAATGAGTAACAACAAATGCCCCTATTTACAATACTTACGGAGCTAAGACTTATCAAGTGCTTTACATAATAAGTTTATAAAGACAAGTAGACTGTTCTCAAAATTCGATCTTCTCAAAGCTTTAATTTGGTTAACTTGAAATCCTGTCTTCGTAGTAATCCCCTTCAACCAAAACTATGATTCAATTGTTTCTATTGAGAGATGAATTTTGTCATCTCGACAACTCTTGTTTTCAAATCAATTGACCTAAAATCTTGATGCTTAGCAATTCTCTTCAAATTTTTTTTTAGTTTTACCCTTTAATAATGGGTTAGTTTTTATCAGCTTACTTTCTATGAGTGATCCAGTTCTTATGACTCATGTTGCATTTTTGATAAGTTAACTCAAGCTACTTTTACTTTTGTCTATTTTTTCAATGTCGTTTTCCCCCCCTTAAACACTTGACTTTGAATGAACTAGGATGTTCTCTTTGATTTATATGAGATTATCATAGTCTCATGACCCATATCACGAGTTTTTCAAGTTAATCAGAGTTGATTTAGGTTAATCCAATATGTCACCATCTCAGTATTTAAAAAAATATTGTTTGTATGTTTGATTTTTCTGCTAAAAAAAACACTTTACAATGCTTTTGATTTTTTGTATTTTTTTAATGATCCGACCAGTGGCATAACGCAGGTCAAACATTTAGTATAAAACACTAAAAGACATGGAGAAATTATTATTCTGCATGCCACCATAACCCTTTCATAGTTCACTATAAACTTCTATAATGATTATTTTTGTATGACAACTCCCGCTCCCCCCCATGCACGCGCTCTTATAGGAACAAATTAGAGGCTAATTTAAGTTATATGTAAGGGGAAAATGAGATTAAAAAACACGAGACCAAAGTTAAAAATACAAAGAAAATAGGTTGCTTTTTAAAGTTTGGTTGAAATGTTCATTATAAACCCCAAACTTTCCAAATTAAAATTATTGGGTTCTTTCAATTTTTGAAATTTTAGGAAAAAATCAATTTTAGTTCAAAATTTTATTTTTATTATTTTTATGTTCGTAGTTTGAGAGAGGTGAGAGATGGAAAGAGTTAATGGGTTCTAATGGTAGAAAGATAAAATCAATCATTGTTGGCATTGATTCTGGCATCAAAATAATCAATTTTAGTGTTAATGAGTTTCATTTAGTGAGTTTCACTTAATTATTATTTTTTTGCCTTAAAATTGACTAAAAATAATCTTGGAAAGATTTTTTATTTTGGATTGATTTCAAGTTTTTATATTGTTCTTTTTTAAGGCTATTAAGAAGTTTATTAAGGTGTATAAAATGTTTTTCAAATGTTTAGGGTAAAAAATGGCTCAAAATTGGATTTATAGGTTATAAAATCACAAGGCTTGATTTTCTTACCACTATAATGGCTTGAATATGAGTAACACACAAACAAATATGATTTATTTAAAAAACAATTGGGCAAACAACATGTTATCTATCATATTAGCTCTTTTTTTTTAAAAAATAAAATAAAGACACTTATGTTGACACTTCTGAATGTGCTAGGAGTGTAAGTGCAAGCTTGGCTTACGAAGCCTAAAGCTTAGTAGTGCCTAACTTTTTTCTTTGTTTTTTATTTCTCTAATTTTTTTATTTTTTTATTAATAAAAATAAGTCTTTTTTTCCAAGCTCTTCTAAACATTTTTTTTTAATTTGTTTTTGCTATTTTTGTCCCCTCTGATCTTGCATTTTTTTTGTTGATAAAAAGTATTTCAAAATATTTTTTAATTTATGTTTCAATTAATATATCTTCTTTATGATTTTTTATTTTGCTTATTTAGTCTTTTTTAAATATTTTTTTTATTTTGTATGTATTTATTTTTTTAAAAATATTATCCTAATTCATCTATAATTTTTTATGCTTTATATGGATGAAATTTGTTTTTTAAAAATAAAAAAAAATATTTATTTTTGGATAATATTTCTAATCTTTTCAACTTTGCATAATATTTTTTTTCTTTTATTTTATTCAATCAATTTCATGTGTGTCTATTTTTATTATCATTTAATTGAATAAAAACTAATTTTAATAAAAACAATTCATTAAATACAACCGAAAAAGTAACCAATATTATGAGATTAAATATTTTAATTTATATCTGTCTCTCAAATTTTCTAGTTTTGTTTTTAATTATTATAAATGATGTTTTTAATTTATTTACATACATAATTATTAATTGTTTTAAATTAGATTCTTGCATAACTTTTTAATTTATATTTACTATTTTTTATATAAAAAAATTTAGAAAGCTTTTATATTAATTTTCTTTTCTGAAAAAATAACCCAACTCATGTAAGCTCGGATCAGATAAAAAGTTTTAGGCCCTATTTATTTGCTGGAAAGTAATTTCTTTATGGAAAGTAAATTATTTTCTAATGTTTGGTAGTGTAATGAAAAATAAGTTGGAAAACATTCTAGTATTTGGTTATATTATGGAAAATAAGCTGAAAAATAACTAATTAATATTTTATTTCTCTCAAGTTTATTAAAATAATAAAAAATTAATCTTATAAATTAAAAAGTTGAATGAGAATAAAATTAAAAAAATATAATTTCATAAATTATCTCAAATAAAATAAATAATAATTAAAATAATAGAGATCAAATCTAAAACATAAAAAAATAAAAGATGAAAAAATTAAAATAATAATAATTATTATTTCATAAATTATTTCAAATAAAATAAATAACAATCAAAATAATGAGTACCAAATTTAATAGATAAAAAAATTCAATAAAAAATGATTGAGAAAAAGCAAATAACAATTATAAAAATGAGAACCAAAATTAATATAAAAATTAAATTTTAAAAGATAAAATTAAAAAAAAATATTCAAAATAAAATATATATAGCAATCAAAAATTTAAGAATCACATTTGATATAATCAGCAAATAATATGACATTTCTAAATTTTTCATAACTTCTGGAAAATGTTTTCAGCCCAAATGTTTTAGGAAAATATTTTTCTAAAAACTAAGTCAATTTTTTTTTAACTAAAAAGTATTTTCTATTAATTAATTTTTTTAATAATAAATAAATACAAAAAATTTAAAAATAATTTTTCAAAAAAATAAATTTCAAAAATCAAACATATCATTAACTATCTTCAGTTTTTATACTTGAAAATCAAAATTGGCTGATGATCAAAATTCGAAGGCATCTACTTTCCAGAAAAGTGGGGTCAGGGGTGGTAACACAAAACGTCTGAAAAAGTAACCCATGGCACACATACCTTTGACAGACCATGCAAGACTCACCAGGGTACAACAGGGGCACTTAAGTACTTTTCTACCCCATGAACCTGAAAAATATTATTTATTATAGTAACTTGAAAAGAGGGGGGCGAGAGAGAGAGACAGCAACTACTTTTGTGTGTGGGTGTGCTTTCTGAGTGTGGCCTGGCCAGTGGCCTCTCTAGAGACAGCAGCACCAACCCAAAAAATTTGGTTCTCTTCTCGCCTTCTGTAAATTCTCCTTTTTTTTTTATTGGTTAGCTACCTTCTTCCAACTCCAACTGCTTGGGGTTTTGTTGCGCCATTCCTTCTGCTCCGTCGCTTCTTTACTATATGTCAGTCTGATCTAAAGGAAAAAAGGAAAGAAAAGAAAAGAAAAAAAACACACTCGCATTACATTACATTCTTTTACACAAATGCCAGCATTTTAGCATTTACAGCCCAACCCATAACACACAAAACACACATTTCCTGTCTAACTTCTCTTCTTGTCTCCTATTCATCAACCAAGACTACAACATGTCTTCCAAAACCAAGTAAGCAGAAACAGGATATGATTTTTTTTTTTAATTATTACAGTTATTATCTTTACTTCAATGAATGTTACAAATTTTAAATTTTGATTCCAGATATGGGAATATTGTTTTAGATTATGCGATTAACAGGTTTGATCTGCTGTTCACTAGGGGTTTTTTTCTCTTTTATCTAGTCTTTTTTTTTTTCAAAGTGTATATCTTTTTCTTTTCTTTTTTGTTGTGTCTCTCTGCTTTCGCACTGCAACAGTATCCATGTTTATCAAGTTTGAATTTTGAATTCATATTTAACATGGGTTTTGCTTCATTTATTCGTTCTTAATCCTGATCCATGGTTTATTATTTCTTTTCTCGTGATCTAATTGCTTTCTTGTTTGGATCTGTTCATGTATCATTTCTGCCCCAAAGGTTAAAGTTTAATTTATGTATCTCTCTATGTAATTTCTGTGCTGTTATGTTACAAAAGAGTTCCCAAATTTGACACAGATCCATCCTATTGTGATTCGGGTTGAATTATTTTGCTTACATATTTCTTGCATTTTTTGTTTATATATATAATGGTTTTTCTATGAGATAGTGTAATGTTGGTACTTTAAAACTTGAACAGATCTGGTTTGTCTGAAACTCCTCCTAGCAAACCATCACCAGCAACTCCTAGAGTTAGTCAACTGAGTCGAGGAGTGGCTAAATCAGAGTCTGATTCACTTTCTCCCCTGCAAAGTTCACGTCTTTCAGTTGATCGATCACCACGATCCATCAACTCAAAGCCCACAATTGATCGTCGGACACCAAAGGTTACTAGAGCTACACCCCCTGAAGTAAGTGTGACTAAATGCCAACAAATTTTGGTGATTTTCATCTCCGACATTTGATGGCATGTTTGATTCTGCTTTCAAATATGTGTTTAGTAACTGGAAGAAAGAACTGTTGGGGGTACATTGTCGTTAATGGATGTTGTTTCCTCTCAATAATAATGAAAGCATGGAAAAGTAATCCTTGAAATTTCTTGAATTGGAAACTATGAATGCTGGTATTGAGAAGCCGGACAATAAAGCATGTTTTTGTGACATTTCAAATAATGTTTTCGATGGGCAAGGAGGTTTGTTGAAATGGCTGCATGTGTCCTTGCTATGTTTAATTGTGAAAGGAAAGTAAATTTTTTGCTTTGATCCTTGATTTGTTAATTGAATGAATTTGGTTTTTAGAAACCTCAGACACGAGTGGTGAAGGCTTCAGAGTTGCAGGTGCAATTGAGTCATCTCCAGGAAGATCTAAAGAAAACAAAGGAGCAGTTAGAATTGATTGAAAAAGAGAAGGCACAAGCAATTGATGAACTGAAACAAGCTAAGAAAGCTGCCGAGGATGCAAATGAGAAGCTTCAAGAAGCTATGGTGGCTCAAAAGCGAGCTGAGGAGGATTCTGAGATTGAGAAGTTCCGGGCTGTTGAGCTGGAACAGGCTGGGATTGAGGCAGCCCAGAAGAAGGAAGAGGAATGGCAGAAAGAGCTTGAAGATGTAAGAAGCCAACATGCTTTGGATGTTACTGCCCTTCTCTCTACCACTCAGGAGCTTCAAAGGTTGAAACAAGAACTGACTATGATTACTGATGCAAAGAACCAGGCACTGAGCCACGCTGATGACGCAACTAAGATTGCTGAGATTCATGCAGAGAAGGTGGAGATTCTTTCATCTGAGTTGACCCGGTTGAATGTATTACTTGATTCAAAGCTTGAAACAGAGGCCAATGAAAGCCACAAGATAGTTTTGCAGCTTAAAGAGGAGATAGATTCATTGAAACAACAGCTTGAGAAAGGTAAATGTTTTGAGGATAAGTTGATGGAAAGAGAGGCTTTCATAGAACAGCTCAATGTTGATCTAGTAGCTGCCAAGATGGCCGAATCTTATGCCCGTAGCTTAGTAGAGGAGTGGAGAAACAGGGTTGAGGAATTAGAGATGCAGGCTGCCGAAGCAAATAAGTTGGAGAGATCTGCATCAGAGTCTTTGGGTTCATTCATGAAAGAACTCGAAGCAAACAATGTTTTATTGCATGATGCAGAAACTGAAATGGCTGCTCTGAAAGAGAAGGTTGGGTTGCTGGAAATGACAATTAGAAGACAGAAAGGGAATCTTGAAGAATCAGAACATTCTCTTGGTATGGTAAAGGAAGAAGCATTGTTCATGGAAAAAAAGGTTGAGTCTCTGATGTCCGAGCTGGAAACTGTGAAGGAGGAGAAAGCCCAGGCTTTGAACAATGAGAAGCTTGCAGCTTCTAGTGTTCAAAGTCTGTTAGAAGAGAAAAACAAAGTTGTCACCGAGCTGGAGAATGCCAGGGATGAGGAGGAAAAGAGCAAGAAGGCAATGGAGAGTTTAGCTTCAGCCTTACATGAAGTCTCTGTGGAAGCAAGGGAAGCCAAAGAAAGGCTGGTATCAAATCTAGTGGACCATGAAAATTATGAAACCCAAATAGAAGACTTAAGATTGGTCCTGAAGGCAACTAATGAAAAATATGAAACTGTGCTTGATGATGCAAAACATGAGATTGAACTCCTTAAAAAAACTGTTGAAGAATCCAAGAATGAATTTAAGAACTCCAAGGCCATGTGGGATCAAAAAGAAGAAAATCTGGTGAATTCTGTGAGGAAATCAGAAGAAGAAAACATCTCTTTGGAAAAAAAAATAGATAGGTTGGTGAATTTGCAGAAGCAGACTGAGGAAGAAGCTTGTGGAATGAGGGATGAAGAAGCTCATTTGAAGGATAGCCTGAAGGAAGTTGAAGCTGAGGTGATATCTTTGCAGGAAGCTCTTGGGGAAGCAAAGGTTGAGAGCATGAAACTAAAAGAAAGTTTATTGGTCAAAGAAAATGAGTTACAGAATATTATTCTGGAAAACAAAGAGCTCCGAACTAAGGAAGCTTCTTCACTTGAGAAGGTTGAGGAGTTGTCTAAGTTACTTGAGGAAGCTATGGCTAAAATTCAAATGGTGGAAAATGGGGAGCTAACAGACAGTGAAAAGGACTATGATTTGCTTCCAAAGATGATTGAGTTCTCCGAAGAAAATGGAAATGTGAGAGAAGAGAAGCCCAAAGTGGAGGAGCTTCCACCACAGCAAACTAGCGAGCTGAAAACAGAAAATGCACAGGAACAGTTTAATGGCGTGACAAATGAGGCTGTTCAGATGGATGCTCACAAAATTGAGAATGTGAATGGAAAACCGAAGGAAGATGAGAGCAAAGAAAAGGAAGATGACTCTGTGGAGGTTGAATTTAAGATGTGGGAGAGTTGCAAGATTGAAAAGGAGCAGGAATCCTTCGAGGAGAAAGTGGACTCCAAGGTGGATGGCGGTGAGAGCTTCGATCAAACAAATGGTTTATCTTCAACTGAAAATGTGGATGATGGTGGAAGCTCACCTGCAAAGCAGCAACAGCAGAAGAAGAAAAGGCCTTTGCTCCGCAAGTTTGGAAACCTACTCAAGAAGGGAACGAGCAACCAGAAGTAGGAACAGTGACCTATTATGGCCTGACATATGCCTAATTAGCAGGCAGGTATATTGGATAATATCTTTCAACTGAGTGTTTGCTTTGTTGGTTTTGCTTCTGATTTTGAGATAGGTTTATAATGAAGAGGTTTGTATTATCATTAGTCTTTCCCCTCATCTGATGTGATTACATTTAGGGGTGTATCTTGCATGTCATGGAGATTTTTTCTTTCCTCTTGCCCCCCTTGTCTAAATTTATGAAAAGGAGAGGTGACGTTATAATTGTATTTTAACGTGTTTTCATCTATTATTGTTAATTGTTGGCGATTTCTCTGGGATAGGGGGTCGGGATCTGTTGATCTGCCAGGATGTTGGATTAAATTTTTCTTACTAAAATTTTCGTTATAACTATCTTGTTTTTTTTCCCGTAAGAAATTTCATTATTTTTAGAGGTGACAACTCTCGCAGCTTCATATATCTTTGTTCTTTCTCAAATAAGGGGTGAAAGTGTCAAACTGAGAACAGGCAAATGAATTATTACGAGCTTATTTGAGTAACTGAACTGCCTTAGCAATGCATGACTAAACTGGGATCGCTAAACTCAAATCGTTGTATTTTTAGGACAAGAAAGCGCCATTTGTTTCTTACAAGTACGAGGTCAAACAGGAATCTGCCTAATTGCCCAAAAATAGGAGTGATGAGAAGATGGAGGTTACCCGATTAGGGACGCCAAAGCGAGAGCTTGCAAGGGGGTATAACAACAAATAGATCGTACGTGGAAAATGGCCCCGAATTACTGTTTCAAACATACGCGAAAGTCGTTTTTTTTTTTAAAAAAAAATATTTAGTGTAGTTATTTAAAAATATTGATGGAATTTTATATATATATATATTGAAATAGTATAATTTGTATATGTGCCAATTATAGTTATTTAATCCAACCTAGAAGTTGGCTCGATCAAGGAGCTAGTTGGATCCTAAGTTATATGAGTTGATCTAGATTAACCTAAATAAACTTAGAATATAAAAATAAAATTAATTTTTAATATTTTATACAAAAAAATTAAAAAAACAACCTCGTGAATATACTTGAGATATGTTATAAATAATAAAGTTTAAAATATTATTTCTAAAATTTTTGTTATCTCACATTGAAAAGAGTAATGGTAGTATATTATCCTTTTAAGTTGAAGTATTTAAATCAAAAGGGTTTTTTTATCATACATTAAAAAAACATAATTTTTTTTAAAGTATATATACTAAAGGGCTTTAAATCCCACATTGAAAAAATAATTTTTTTCTTGTGAACATAAAGTATATATACTAAAACGTTTTAAATCCCACGTTAAAAAAAATAAAATATTATTCTAGTATTTATATAATGAACTCTAAAAAGGATTAATAACTAACTAAAAAATATAAAAAAAGATAGGTCTCTGGATAGGAGAAAAAACACATTTAAAAACAAGATCTAGTTTCAATTGGGTTTTGCCGGGTCAACCGGGTTTTGTTGAGTTTTTTCTCATCTTGGTCTTTTATCTTACTCGGACTGGTCCAGTTACTAGGTTGATCCACCGGGTCGGTCTAGGTTTAATAACTATAGTCACAATATAGAAAACATGACTTTTATATCTTCTCGTTAATCCCATAAAAAAATATTTTAAATAGATAAAAAAAAGACAAAAAAAAATCTTTAAAACACACTAAGTTTAGATTATAATATTATTGTATTATAAAAAAGACTCAACAATATGAATCTAATTACAACAAAAAAAGACAACCAAGAATATATTGAGTGGGTCATACTTGTTACCTAAAAATGGAGGGTGGCTTACTTGTCTTTGACGACAAGTGTGATCCACTTGAGTCATTATTGGTAAATTTTTTAGTGTTGTTAAATTCATTTCATTGATTTTTTTTTATGATACCAGTGGTGTTGTAATTGAAGTTTTGGTGTGTCTATATAATTTTTTTGTTTTTTTTTATTTCTCCTTTCTCTCTCATCTCTCCTATTTAATTAATATATTTTTTTATTGGATATCGCCATATGTATAGGGACAAGCTATAAAAATTATAATTTTTTTTTAAAACATGTACAAACTATAATAATTTATCCAAATTGTCTTGTTATTTAACCATTATTTTTAAAACATATGCTAAAAAAAAAAAAGGCCGTCAAAGTCTTTCAATGTCTCCTTGACTGAAACCTCAAAATAAACTTACCTCGAAGTGTCTAAATGTATGTAAAGAAAGAACGTGCCTGCGCATGTCTATATGTATATATATAACTGAAAGTTCGGTTCCTTAGAAACTACAAACTAAAATTAGAAGTATTTTCAAGTTTGGTTACTTGAAAAATCTTATTGGGATGTGGAAAACAGTAACCACTTCTAATCTCATACGCAAAGGAATGAAACCAAAACAAAGTCTTCTGTTTCAAAACCAAAATGGTTGGATGTCTAATGCCTGCCATTAACTTTTCAAGTTGTGATTTCAACCCCTTCGTCAGTTTGTTTCTCTAAAGGATTTGGACAATAAATCTGCACAACTGAATTAAAACTATATATGATTAGGAACGTGTATAATTTTATGAACAAGTCAAAAACATATTTCAAGAAGTGGGTAAAGATGCTTCAATTTCAAGATTGTGATATTAAAATATTCAATCTTAAAAATGCTTTTAGCAAAAGCAAGCATAAGCGGGTCCATCCATCTGGTAATGGGTCCTTTCTTTCTTCTATCGTCTGCCTGAACACATTTTCCACCTTCAAGAAAATATCCTCCCATCTTATTGATGGCTTCCCCCCCTGCATCATTATCAATATCATGTGACTTGTGAGCGCTTATAATAATTGTATTTGAAGGTATGAAATGCAGAATTTTTTCTTTTCTTCCTCCCTGCTGCTGTAGTATAATAAATCTATGTCCAAATTATTGACGTTGAGAAAGGCAATTGATCATAAAAAAACACATAGTTTATTTGTTCATTTCATTGTTTTTCTGATACGGGGAGGATGAAACAATTTCTAACCTCCATTGTGTTGAATTGCCAAATCGTAGAATAACGAATAACATTTGAAAAAGAGAATCGCTTCAGATTCTAACTGTTCCCACACCTTAACTTTTTGCCTTTTGACCAACCCCTTCATTCACCTTTTACTTTCATGCTAAGTATACCATGATGATGTCTTGACCCAGCGAAACTTTTCTTCTTCTTCCATGATAAAAATTAATATAGTTCTCACTTCTTCTTGAGAAATTTGAAATGAAAAAGGTTTCATGCGTCCTAGGATTACCCTCCTCCGGCTTTACTTCCATTTTTGCGGAAAAACTTCTGCAACATGATTACTACGGGTAAAAAAAAACAGAAGAGAAATAAACAAAAAAAATGATAAGATCCAAGAAATTTGGATCCTAGCATAACTGTATCTAATACTCAAACATAACTCTCTAGTATCTTACTAGGAGTTTCTTGGCATATCTTTCTACATTTAATTAGAAATTCAAGTCAATTGCAGTTTCAAAAGTTTTTGTGATACTAGTAAAAGTGATGTAGATTCTTTTATTTGCTGCTTATTGAATTTTAGATTTTGGAAATGAATATTCTCCTAATGATATATGGATATTCAATAATTTATTTGGAGAGTTTTTTAGTTTTACAAGGATTTTTAATGAAAAAAATATAATTTCTAAGTATACTAAAAATTCTTTAATATTTCGAAATCTTTTTTTTTATAAAGATTTTTTATTTATCCTAGCTATTGAAGAAAAAATGAGCTGACGGTATTTAATGATTTAATGACAGATTAATTGTTTGTGTTGGACTATATAAACTTGCTTCACGAAGAATTATATTTTTTATTTAAGTTTTGTGTTTTTTTTTTATTTGTTTTAGTTTTTATTTGGATTTTTTACTTTAATTTGGATTTATAACAGCCCATTAGTCATTGTTTAGGGTTTTAGTTTTTGTTCAACTTTGTTATGGGTCTTGGATCTATGATTCATTATGGTTATAATTATTTGAGAAAAATTGTTCGTTTTCTCAAGTTTGAGGTGGTCATGATATTTTGAATAAATTTATGTTTTGTATAATGCAATACTTTTCTCTTTGATATAACAAAGAACAAGTTTAACCTATTAATGTATAACTGATCTTGTGGTGTCTTCACATACTTCGGGTTCTTGATTCTGTATAATCAATGAGTTCAAGTTCAGTTTCAAATACCTTTGGTCCTTAGGTATATGGTTATCTATAGGTTAAGGTTTATCTATAAAAACTTGATTTTTGGTTTTTCAGGTTTGTCATCAACTTCATTGTGGGTTTCTAGATCTTTATATTCACTGGTTATCATAAAAAAAATACTTGTAATTGTAGCATATTAGTATCTTAGTCTAGCCCAATGGACTTAAGCACTTATAAGAAATGAAAAGTAATGGACTAAACAAATTAATTTCACCTTATATTTCATCTATTTGTTAAACGAGTTGCTCTATTATCAATTCAATTAAATACAACCATATTGATTGAAAATATACACCAACCAATTAGATTATTATTTTTCACTACTTGTCATTATCATCAATTATCCTCATTTTCTTTTTACTATTGATAAACTAAATTTAGAGGACCTAAAAAACCTCTTTTCTTTTTACTATTGATAAACTAAATTTAAAGAACCTAAAAAACCCCTTAAAGGCCTAAAACAATTCTTGTAGGCTTGGAAATAGTAGCCCGAGCCCATCTACTACTAAGATGTATGGGCTTGGATATAGTAGCTCGAGCCCATACTAGGCCCACATCCACATGGCCGTGCCATGCTTACCTCAGTATTTTATTATGATCTAATATATATTATTTTGAGTAGAATACAACTCAAAATATCATAAGAGTGAAATTACACTTTAACCCTCTCTCTCCAAAAAAAAAAAAAACAAAACTAATGAGTTATAAATTTATCATAAATCCTTAAAACTAAAAGATCACAATCTCTTCATTTTTAATATTCTCAGCATATATATTTTCAGAGCTTATCTCTTTAAAATATGATTACACTTTCTCTATCTACAAAGTTACTGACTTAAGCCTCTGGAGTTTTCAAATTCATAAAAAAAAAACCTTTTGCAGATGACAGCTATGCCATTTTGGTAATAGACACCACCAGTTACCAGTTACCAATTATCATCACCTGGGTTTTCCATATCAAGCTATTAGACACCTTAACTAAGAAGAGTGGCTTAAATTATTTGAACAAGAGATTAATCAATTATTCAAAACATTAACCTTATTCATAAA